CCGCGCCGTGCCCGCCCCGCGCCCGCCTTCGCCGCCGTGGACGGGCAGGAGAAGTTCGAGACGCGGGTGACGGCGCTGGACGGCGGGCTGCACGTGGCCTCGCAGAACAAGTTCGGGCAGTTCTGCACCGTCGGGGGTACGTGGCGGTGTAACGGACGCGTTACATGCATGGCGCGGCTGGCTGGGCGTCCGCGCCGCGTGACGACCGTGGGATAGTGTCGGGGGGACATCTCTAATTAACTACCGCAAGTTAATTATGCTTCATGGAGCTGTTTGAGGTGCTGATTTGTGTGTCCGGACAAGACTGGAGCGGGTCGGTGCCAGGACACGTCGCTTGTCAGTCAAATCTGTAGCGATCTAGCGGAGTTAAGTATTCAGTGTGTCATCTGCTGCGTTTCAGTTCTCCTGGTTTAAAATGAGGTGTTTGCTCGTATGCACCCTTGTAAAATCAGCCCGTGGTACCAAGAAATACTAATGTGTTTGTTTTTCGTATCAGTTCTTATAAATTCCGGATCGAGACATGAAACCAAGTACCCCAGTGGCATTTCACACTTCTTGGAAAAGCTGGCTTTCTCTGTAAGTACTGTGCCTGCAAGGAAAAAGTCCCAACACCTTTTGTTTAAATCCCTTCAAAGACTACTCGGTTGTTCTTGCAGCCATAATTCTTTTCAGAAGGCCCAATTCTGTTTTCCTGTCAACTTCAGGATTACAGGTGCAGGCTCTGCCTAGTTACCTTCAAGTAAAGGAAGGAAGGAAAGGGTGCTTCCTTGTCCTCAGTCGCGTTAATACACGAGAGATGCGCATGCTTAATCCCTTACCTTGATTTCTTCTTCTTAGTCAACAGCCCAGTTTGGCAGCAAAGATGAAATACTCCTCACCTTGGAAAAGCATGGAGGCATTTGTGACTGTCAGGCATCGAGGTACAATTCTAACTCTCCATTTTCCCATGCACAAACGGTTGTCAGGATAAGTGACGGTGATGCAACGTGACCGAACTTCTGCCTTTTCTGTGCCGTCATAATGATGATCTGTTTTCGAACAGCATATTCGAAATACCACTCATTCAAAATACCACTGATATTTGAAATTGCCACTCTGTTTGTGGCAAATTGCTGGAAGGATGCAGGAGTGAACATGGAAACAGTGACGAACCCTAGCCCTTGATCTAAGCACTGAGCAGATATTGTTGGAATAACTGTACCTGCCAATTTCATGCCATGAGTTTGTTATTACATTAATACACTGATTGCAAAACACACCTGTTTGTGTTGCAGGGACACCACCATGTACGCCGTTTCAGCTGAGGCCAAGGGTCTGGACACTGTGGTCAGTTTATTGGCTGATGTTGTGCTAAAGCCCAGGTTAACAGGTATGGGAGTGTTAGTTGCCGCGTTGGGCAAGGAGCCCAAACTACTCAGTTTCAGAATCCTGGTTCGTTAAGTTGCACCTATGTAAAACATTTACACAACTATTATTGCCATGTTGGAGCAATGGCACAAACAGCCCATTGTTGCAGACAGAAAATTAGTACAAGTACAAACTGGTTGCTTACGAGACTGGCCAGTCTTTAACATTCATTTCCACTTCATTCAGAAAAGGAGGCGGGCTGGGTATTGTTTTGGACTCTTCGTTCTGCGAAAATGAACCGAGAGCTTTCACACTCAGGCAGCTCCCTTTTGTAAACATAGGAAGGGAGGGGATCTCCTTGGACCCTGAGTTTGGTCCCTTGGTATAGTAGTCTTTCCCTTAGATTATCAAGCCCCATCTCAGAACCACGTCCAGTGGGCAGGCTGTTATTGTCAACCTTAAAGCTTTACTTGCTTACACAAGCTTTACTCTTTCTGCACCATACCTTGGGGCAGGGGCAGTACCTTGGAGAACTCCTCGCTGTCTGACCCAATGGTCTTGTAGAGCAGAGCCCCAAGAGGTTGTTCCCAATTGGATTCCTTTCCTGGTGGTTCATAGCCTTTGTTTTCCTTGTTGCTGTAGATGAAGAAATCGAGATGACTCGAATGGCCGTTCGGTTTGAGCTGGAAGATATGAATATGAGACCTGATCCAGAGCCTCTGCTCACGGAGATGATTCATGCAGTAAGCTAATGGGGGGGGTGTTATCTTGACGTGCTGCAACTTGCAAAACATTTCTTTTCTCAGGATTAATTTTGGTGACAATTTTAATCTGCTCCCTAAGCAGGTACAATGATGCTGAGCTAGAATTGAGGAAGCATGTTGCTGCTGACATCTCCATTTAAGCTCTCAATTGCCCACGTATAGTAAATACATTGGACTCAAAAGGACAATGGGTTTTGGAGCCTGAAAGTCCAGACAGAGAAGCATGTCATACCTGAAACTTAACTAGTTATAACCAGCTCTCCAATTACAGCTGCTATCTTTCACTTTGTTGCAAGTGAAATAACACTCAGTTTGTCCTTTCTTGCTGTATCTCTGTTACTGTCAGAGGATGGAGCATTGCTTAAATGCAAAAGGGCAAAGGAAAGCTCAGATCATATTTTTTTTTGGAGAACAAGCATCCTTTGTTTTAAACTAAGTGTGCTTGTGTGTGTGTTAATCCTAATAGGCTGCATACAGGGATAATACTGTGGGACTCGACAGATTCTGCCCTGTGGAAAACATTGAGAAAATGGATCGGAACATCCTCCACTCTTACCTGAAGAACTACTATACGCCTGACAGAATGGTGCTGGCAGGGGTCGGGATCGAGCATGAGCAGTTGGTGGAGTGCGCCAGAAAGTACCTGGTGGGAGTAAATCCAGTTTGGGGCAGTGCCAAATCCAAGGACATCGACAGATCGGTTGCACAGTACACGGGAGGAATCATCAAGGTAAAACTAAAAGGCAGAGTCAATCCATGCCTGAGCTGGATCTTCCTGTTACATTAAAGAAATAGATTTGGATGTCCTCAAGCTGAATTCCTTACAGGTTCTCGTTTACACAAAGGCACTTGGAAACTCAAAGGCAGCAGCCTGAATACCCGCAAAAGCTGAGTACCATCTGCAGTGTCCATCTAAGCAGGCAGTTGGCCATTCTGTCTACAGAGGTCCCGGCTTATGGACATGCAGTAGAATCATTGTGCGCCCAGGGTGGCTGCCTGGCAGTATGAGAGGAGGGCTGGATTTCTGTAACTCCTCAGGCCAAGGTTCACAGGCATCATTCAGACCTAATTTTCCTCTTCCCCCGGCAGGTTGAAAAAGACATGTCAAATGTGAGCCTGGGCCCTACTCCAATCCCTGAGCTGACCCACATCATGATTGGGCTGGAAAGTTGCTCATTTTTGGTACGTGCTCCCCCAGAACTTCCTGCTGTAGCTGCAGAACAGCAAACGGCCCTCTTTTTGTTTCAACCTTGTTGTTCATGGTATAACTCAATGCAAGCAGAAAGGAGCTCTTTCAACAGTGTCCTGCTGGGAGGGTGGAGTCTGCTGTATTCAGAAATGAGCTGGCTGACTTTTCACCACACATGCCGATTTTGCAGGGCTTCCCATGTTCACCAGGGACTTTTCTCTTTTCTTTCTTTCACGTAAAGTTTGAGCGTTGTCAGTTCTGTGCTGAGTCTGCACTGTAGTGATTGCCTCTGTTGTCATGATTCAGGAGGATGACTTCATTCCCTTTGCTGTGTTAAACATGATGATGGGAGGAGGTGGCTCCTTTTCTGCTGGAGGGCCTGGCAAAGGCATGTTCACACGTCTGTATCTCAACGTACTCAACAGGTTTGTTAGTTTCCTCTTTCAAGGAAAGGCTGAAAGTTTTTTCCCCCCTCTGCGATGGGTCTGCACAGAAAGCCTCATCTTCAGCAAGCCAAAGTTAGTCCATTTTTTCCATCACCAGTTGCTCTCTTGGAGGTAGATGTAGCTTAAGTCTGGAGCTAAACTGGAGAAGGGGACCAGGAATCCTGCCTTCTGTACCCAGCCCAGCCTTCAACTGGTGGGGGTGGGAGGAGACCTCACGAACTAGCCATTTGGTGCAGTTGTCCAGCACACTGTCATTCTACAGGTCCCTTCTGCAGAAGCAGAAGGGAAGAAAGTAAAAGACAAACCTGCAGGCAGCAAAGTTTTGAGGGAAATGAAAGGGAGTTCATGATGGGAACCGGTCATTCCCATCTGTGCCTTTGGGATTGCTGTTTCTCAGGCTAATGATCCTGTTGCATTCAGAGAGGTAACAGGCTCATTCGCTTTTTATTTCTCTGACACTTGCACCTGTATATTCTTGCACTCATAGGCACCACTGGATGTATAATGCAACCTCCTACCATCACAGTTACGAGGATACAGGCCTTCTATGCATTCATGCCAGTGCAGATCCTAAACAGGTACAAAGCTCTCTCGTATTCCATGACCTATATCCATAAACAACAGCTGCAGCACTTAATTGCCGATAGAGCAGCTCTTGTCATGTCACTGCCAAGAGGTTGCTTATTGGTTCTATACTTGTGGGGAACTGAAAGTCATCAGGACCTGCAATCTGTGACATGAGGGCTGAAGCTTTCACAACTCCCAGTGTACATCAATTCACACATCTTGCACAACACTAGTATAGCTCAGGCAGGCATCCCATTTTCTCACAGAGTTGACTAATTACGTATTGGGAAGAGAGGCCTATGTATCCTCAAATGGCCACTGCTGCTGCAGACAAATTCCACAAAGAGCTGGAGTGCTCTGCATCAGAGAGGTGAAGTCCCATCCTGCTTGAAAGGAACTGCCTTGATGTGGCACCAACATGTTTCCCTTGTGCCTATGCAGAGCTGCAGTTAGGACCCTGTGTACTGCAGGAGGGAGACAGTAGCAGTTCAGGTGCTGCTGATCGCCAGGCACTCACTACAGAACCATCTCGAAGACAAGGAGCAGGCGTGAGGATGGTTTTCTTTCTAACACTCTCTTGTTTTTCCAGGTCCGAGAAATGGTTGAAATCCTTACGAAGGAGTTCGTTTTAATGTCAGGAACAGTGGGAGAGGTAAGATGCCTGGCCACCGAAATATTGCATGACCCAGACAAACACCACTTGTGCCTAGAAGAGTCTCCCGACTGGCTCACCAAGCACCTTCCTTTCCCTCTGCAACCTCTGCAGATCGTTTCCTGCTGGAAGGCACAGTGCAAACTCCAGCACTCACCTGGAGCAGGGTGTTTGCTGACTCCAAGCCTTCCTTCTGGTCATTCTGGAGGGTGGTGGGGTGGTACAGCGGAAAGCATAGTTGCCAGTCCTGAGACCAAACCAACACGGTCAGTGGTTTTTCCTGGTGACATGCAGGTAGAACTTGAGCGAGCAAAGACCCAGCTGAAATCCATGCTGATGATGAACCTGGAGTCACGGCCGGTTATCTTTGAGGATGTAGGAAGGCAAGTGCTGGCTACAAGCACAAGAAAGCTACCTCACGAGCTCTGTGATCTCATCGGTGAGTACAGCCTACTGCTTCGCATTCACTGCATCATGCTGTATTTGTACTCGGGTGGCAACGACAGCTTCCAACCTGCTGACAGCTGTTCCTCATAGTAGTTTCATAGTAGTTTGGGGTCAGAAGGGACCTGAACAGATCATCTAGTATGACCCCCAGAAAGCAAGGGTAGGATAAATGGTAGATCCTTTACGCTTTTGCTAAAACTTCTCAGTCTGGTGAAGCTCCTCCTTGCTCTTGGACCCCAGCCTGTGGGAGATTTCAAGGCAAGGGACACCTCATTGCTGAAGGCATGCAGTGTATACAGACCGTGTAGTGATGCAGTCAGTTCCAAATCTAACTGACTCAAAAAATGTCCATTGACTTCAGTTAGGTCTTTAACACCTGACTGAAAGCTCGGCAGTCCCAACTCTGATGCAGGCTTTTTTCTGTGGCCGTGGTCAGATCGCCTAATGATGGATTATCAGTTTTCTCCATTAAACCTTTCTGGCTCTGTTTGCCATTGGTAAGATCATTTGATGTCTGTAAACCCAGTCTGTGGTACTTCCTGCCATCTGTTTCAAGCATCTGTAAACTAAGCAAAGCTTAAAAGGGAAACCAGCCACTTGACTATCTTAAGACTCTCATCCAGTACTCTAGAAGAGCTTTTTGTCACTGTTTACAGTGCAGTGCTGATAACTCTTGCTTGTATCCGCAGATAACGTGAAAGCTGGTGACATCAAGAGGGTGGTCACGAAAATGCTTCGAAACAAACCGGCAGTGGCTGCGCTGGGAGACTTGACGGAATTGCCCACATATGAGCACATTCAAGCAGCACTTTCCAGTAAGGACGGGCAACTCCCACGGGTGTATCGCTTCTTCCGGTAAAGCAGCAATCCCCATGTGCCGTCCAGAACGAAATACGACTTGCCAGTATCTGAACACAACGTTGACTGGATTATAACATCACTGCAAAAAACAATGATTTCTGTTCATCCTGTGCCGTACAGGATTTCTTTATAGCTGAACTAGACTGCATCGTATCTTCTGATTGGGAGGCACCCGTGATGGTGAGGGTGGACAGGCCTATCCTGATGTTTTGGCCAGCAGAACAAATAACTGCAGAAGGTAGGACATGCTGGACTTTCCCTTGGCACCATAAATTGAATGTGGCAGCGGAGTGAGCAGTAACCACCAACCTGAAACTGCTGCAAGGAGCAGAGAAAGCATTCAGAGAACTGTTTCCTCATCCAACTTGAACACTGATGGTTATAACTGCAAATCTTTGGCTGTCCTTGGTAAAGAATTAGATTTTGGTAGTTACATTTCATGGTTGGGTTGGCTCTAGTCACACCTGTTTTCCCATTCAAAGTCTGTGTCACTGGGAGATGAAAGGGCTGTTCTAAGTACTATTCATCTAACGTTTCCTGGTCCAGAAGATACAGCTATAACGAAGCTGAACAGCTGATTCTAGAAAAATCTGTCCCTGTAACAATCTGCTGAGTTCCCCCTTCCATTGTAGATATCAGCTGCTGTTGTAAAAGCCTTGCCATATTGGTGATCATTTCTGCAGTCTCGTTTGAGTAGGTAGCATCAGGAGTACCTTGTTTCACTGTAGCACTCCATCTCCCCTTATGCTGGTCATACCAAACTTTTTCACAAAGGGTGAAGTCTTGCAGATGCTTCATATACAATTATGTTGGTCTTGCAGCATAACTCATAGGTTCTTGAGCCACGTCTGCATAAGGAGAACTTTCCCAATCACTGTTTTTGAATAATCCCATACATGGGCACACTTATCCTGGAATAAGTGTTCTTGTTTATCTTATTTTATTTTAAAAGCAGATTATAGGAACAGGAATAAAACATTTGTATTCCAGGATTAGCCTGTCCACACAGAAAGTCATTCAGAAACAGCCATGTATGTCTGACACACAGATTAACTGTTAAGGGTAGACAGGCTTTTACCAACTGAGAACTGGCTTCCACTAAACTATTTGCTCCCACAGGAAAAATTAAGATGAATTAAAATAAAGGTTAGTAAAGAAGTGATGACTTGTATAAGTCAATCTTGTAGGAGAAATCACTTTACAGAAAAACATGAGTGCAATAGTAACAAGTTTAAGCAAACTTCTCTACACATATGAAGAACCATCACTTAAAAGGGGAGGTGTAATACCGGACGTTATAGTCATCTGGCACATCTAGGCATTGTTATTTGGAGAACTCAGGTGCTGCTGGGTAATCAGCTTAGTGCATAAATGAACAGTGGTCAGCCCAGGAGTAGAACACTCATTGGTAGCTTCTCTCTGCTTTCTCCATGTGACACCAATCACGACTGGAAGTCATATAACCCACGCCACACAGAATTGTCCCACCGTGTTGCTGTTGAAAAATGAGGCTTTCATTTGAACAAACAGTATGATCAATTCCCAGCCTTGTCCTGTCAGTCGTGGTGCACATCTTTGTAAAGGGAATAAAGACTTTGAATTGAGCAGTGTAAGTAGTGACCGAGGAAACTGATTGTTGCAGTTTAGACAGTCTGCCAAAGACTTCTGCAAAGAGCTGGCTAAACAGATCATTGCTTGGAGGCACTTGATTTAGGTAATCCATAAGTACACCCTGCAGGCAGAAATTTGCACAGCTGAGGTAGGATGAGGTGATCTGCCCCAGGCCATGGAGAAGGCAGTCAGATGCCACTGCCTCGACTAAAAGTCCATTCCTATTCAGCAACAACACTTGGCTTAGCTTAGAGTGCACCACTGTTAGTCTCCCTTTTTTTCTTTCCAACCAAATTAACACGAACAATTAATTGCCTGTTGCTTTAGAGACTTCTACCCAGAGACTGGCATCCCCATTTCTGTCATGCTGAAGACACTGGAGCTAGTAGCTACAGCCGCTGCTGGACAGGCACCATCCAGTCTCCTTGACAAGGACCGAATGACTTGGCTATAGCTCAGGATCATTCCCACAGGTCCACTTTCAGTCTCATCTACTGTTTAACACATCTTGGTTACAAACCAAAGCAGCAGAGGGAGAAGTAAAAAATCTGGTCCTTACTTTATTTGTAAAAAGAAATGCAGAACAAGAGGAACAAATGCTTAGCATGAAATGCTGGAACCCAAGACAGAGTCAGACTTCCCATCATATAACCACTTAAGCCTTACAAGATGCTTTCTGCGTGGGAATACCAGTTTGCTTTTTAAATTGGTGTGAAGAGCCACACTAAGGATTCAGTCCACTACAGTGGTGTGAACTTTGCCAGGGTCTAGCAAAGCAATTTAGTCACAGGCTGAAAGATGAGCAGGTGAGCAGTGCTGCGACTGCAATAGGACTACTCCAGCATTTGCTTATGCCTGGGTCAGAATCCTTTGGTTGATTAGGATTAGTGTGCTCAAAACCAAGTCCTGTACTCCATCCTTTAAAGAATCGCCTGCACTAAGGCACTGGTCCCAGAATAATTCCTTCTGGTTACAGTCTATCCTGAGATACTTTAATGGCTCACACAGAGGTAGGTGAGGATAGAGGATTTTCAGGGACAGAACATTTACTCTTTACCACGGGAAAGCACTTGAGCACGTTTCCTCCTAACCATTTGGAAGTTAACACAATATTGTTACTTGTTCCTTATGTGTTTCTTCTATTCCAAGGTTTATTGCAGAAAGCGACTGTGACAGATCTACTGATTATATGGAATTTCCTCCAGATTTTGTATTTTATGTATTAAGATGGGTTATGGTACCATTACTAGCCATTAATCCATGCAAACTGCCCATGAGAAGCTGTTTGGGGTTAAATGTAGTGTATAATTTAACCACTGTCACAGTGGCACTTCCAGCACCATTTGCCTCGAGTGAAAGTTGCTCTACAGATAGGTGAACTATTCCCATTTTACCTACTGGAAAACTAAGCCACAGAGAAGATATAAATTTCCCCATGCTGAGAAGCAGAGGTGGAGCAGGCTTGAGGTTATCTGACTCCTAGTCCTTACTCTGACCCAACAGTCTTGCCAAATAATCTCCCAGGAGTTAGAGATCCCTTTTCCCCATCTCCCTAGCAGCATTCTCTAGAACTCTCTACTTTGAGGCTAACTGCCCTGCAGGATTTGTAAACGCCAACCATGCCTCAGTCACTGTTTTCAGTTAGTGCCTCTTGCTGAAAGCACATGGCTAGAGATTGGATATCCCATTCCTGAGAATCAACACATTTGGGAATGAATACATTGCCTCAGAAAGTCTGACTCTATCCAAGGGCCTGTGCTGGTTTGAAAATGCCATTTTCCTCTTAGGAACAAACAGGAGTACAAAATACATGCTGCTCCCCAAGGCCTTATCACTGTACATTCACCCAAAGTTGCGGGAGTGGGCCACAAATGCAAACATGTTATGAACAAGAAACCGCTGCAATTCTGCAGCTGGTCCCCTAGGCATTTTACAAAATACTGTGCATTTGGCTCTAGGTGAGGCAGCCACCAGCTCACATCAGTGCTCTTCTGAGGAGGAGGTTTGCTGGGCAGCTGGTCTGACCACACTAGCCTAAACATAGAACTGAAATACCCTTGGAGCAGCTGCTCTGGCTGAATTCAGTTCCTTGGGCAGTATAGCCACTACATAGTCTTTGGCCCAGCCTCAGATCAACCAGCTGAATCTTGCTGCTTGCCAAGAAAGCGGCGAGAGAAGTGACCTGATGGAATAAACAGGGCCAGCTGTCCTGAAGAGCTGTGGCCTTCTTGGTAAGCCACAGTGACCATCAGCAGCGCTCCGACAAAGAGCCCTTCCCATGAATGGCGCTTGCACCGCTGCAACCATTACCTCGCTCTGCAGTCCTCCCTGTGGCCCCTGGGACAGGTGCACTGCTGGGCACCAAGGTCAGGACACAGTACAGACTCTGCTGGATTTCTGGTCCTTCAGCTCCTGCCGTTTCTTCAGGTCTCTCGTAATTCGCCTCTTGATCCCAATCAAATAGAGTTCTCTGTCAAACTGCCCCGCTGCCAGTGGGATGCTACGACAGAGAGAGACCGCTACTTACCTTTAGGCACTGCATGCAGCAGCATCTAAGACAGGCCTAACCACATGCAAAACAGCCAGCTTCTTTGCCACTACAACCACCCAGGTGTGCCATCGTTCTTGTCTGATGGGATGTGATGACAGAGGATGAGAGAAATGTGCCCAAAACAAAGCTACCGCTCTTACCTAGTTTCAAGACCCTTGTATTTCAATGCCTTGAGCCATGTGCCTCAGGCTTCTAAGATCAGAAAGCTGAGACAGCAGAATTTACTGTCAGGCAGTGTCATGAATCCTAAAGGATCCGATGGTGCATTTCAGCTCTTGAGAAGTACAACCCCTGGGGCGGACAGACAGAAATCATTTCCACACCCCCTTCTAGGAAACATGTACAGGTCAAACTCTACCAAGCTCAATTTATCTTCTGCAGCAGGATTGAGGAGATTGAGAGCACGGATCCCAGCTATCAGCTCTAAGGTTTAAATGCTTTTCCTGCTCTCAGCATTGATTCTGCATGTCACACAGAGAACACTGCAACGGGCTATATGGGATTAATTCCATCACAGGGGCTCTTGTGATGTTATAAACACCTGAGCACAAAATCTGGCATGCAGACATATCCCACGAACACCCCACTGCCAGCCCGTGTGTGAAGACACGCAATCAGGTCACTGACTTGTCTCTGCCAGGCCTCAGTTTGACGCGGAACAAGCCGTACACTGGCCTGTGGTCGGACGTCCGGATTATGGGACAGGAGGAGTACTTCACAGCATGAATGTCATTCTTGTGACGGCTTCTGTACACGACCCGGTCCTGGAGATAGAGAATGGAAGGAGGTTAATAACTCTCCTTTGCGTGTCTGCCCTGGTGAGAGGCACTTATTCATTAAAGATAAATGTGTTAGTTTGAAACACCTTTTAGAAGCATCTTTCACCCTGGGAGTTGGGAACCCTGGGTGTTCAGGTCTTCTGCCCCCAGGATCCCTGGAAGGGAGGCAACACACTGTAGATTATTTGACTGATGCTCACCTCTCTCCCCTTGCTGTCCCAAGCCGAAATAACTGCCTGTCTACAGCACTCGGTTGGGGTGAGGCTGTAAAACCACTCACAGAAGACACACTACACCAGAAACAGGAATAACTGCCACCTCAACATGACATCTCCCACATGGTGGGGAGCTGGGGCCACTGAATCCAGTGGTCCCTTCCCCTAGCCCAGTCCCTGTCTGCCACTCTGGTCCACAGGAAGTTCCCAGCCCAGTGCAGACCCACTGATGGGACAGAGCCCTACAAGCTTGTTGCCACATGGGTGGATTTTTCCTCTGAGAAGCATTTTCCTCCCCATGTGTGCGTATATAAGCAATCCCTTACCGTGTACGAAGGTGTCCTCTGCTTGGAAGTGGTGTCATAGCAGTCCTGCCCAATGTCAAACTTATAGGAAGGATGGAAATGAATGGCAGCCTCTTGGAACCCTTTGAAAACAGACCCTGTGGGGGAAGGGAAGGCATCATGAAGAATGGACCTATTCTTCCGTAGAAAACCTGGCCATTTACAGCAGTAGGTTACAGCAGTCTGTGCACACCAGTTAGAAACTGAAGCCACTGACATTCAGCCTGCAAAAAACAATCTGGACATGAGAAAGGAATTAACACAAGGCTTTGCAGCTGCAAGGTAAAGAACTGGAGAGGAAGTATCTAAAAGCCTAACAAATCAATAACAGAATTCAGCATATGTGGACCCTTCACTGGAATCTCAGCCTGCCTGATCAAATCTGAGCACTGCTGTGAGGTGGGCAAGAAATCTTCCCATTTCACACAGCAAAAAGCAGAGGCAAGGGGCAAGTGAGAGTGCGCAGCAAGTCAGGGAGAACCCTAGCGCCCCAAATCTGACATGTCAGCTGATACAAAAAACACCTGGCTCTCCCCTCCAGGTACAACATCTTTGCTTGACTGCAGCTCTCTGTTGAGCAGGGAGTTGGCAGTAAAGAATCATTTGCTTGGCAATGCCCAGTTCCTGAGATTTGAGGGTGGGGGACAACACCATGCCCCTTACCATTTTTCATTTCTTTAAGGAGCTGGTCATACTGCAGTAGCTTGGACATGTCCATCTCCAGGTTCTGGTTCAGGATTAAATTCACAGCCTCTCGATCCTGGTTTAGCCGGAAATTGAAGTCTCCAAACCAGAACACCTCATCGAAGCGAGTTGTGACATCAGCTGCAAATCCAAGCAGAAAGGACTTCATCAACCCTGGACCTCTGTGTTCAGGCAGTAGATTATTGCACAAGCCATTTTTGCACACAAGTAGACATGGCCTCATACATCTGGGGATACTCACAAGGGCTGGACCGATAAGGGTTTGTATCGGGAACATTCTTGGGAAGTGCCAGGGCCTGGATGATTTTATTATAGTCCAATATCCTCTCATACACTTTGCTGTCTCCAGCTGAAAGACAGAAGTGAGAGTGATGCCAGGTCACCCAGAAAAGATGAAGACTTCAGAATTTCTATTCAATCACTGTGTATTATTATTAAGTAGATGGCTAGACTCTTGTAAAATGTGCTAGGCTCTTCCTAAACAGATAGTCCCTGCACCAAAGGGCATGCAGGCTAAAAAGGCAGTGATGGATGAGGGGAGGTAATGAAAGGCAAGAAATAATTTTAGCTGCTGCTTTTGGTGTGTACTGGACAGGTAACATGGATGCTGAACAGACCAGAGGGCAGCTGCCAAGAGTCAACTAGAGGGCTTTCAAGACAGTTGGAGGGAAAGGGTGAGGTCTCAGATCTAACAAAGGATGAAGCAGTGTTTCAGAGTTTATTCCATACTATGTTTCCTCAAGGTTTAAATCCTGGTGCATAAACAAGACACAGAATGGATCCATTTTACCAGCACCAAAAAGGAAAGCACAGTAGCTTCACAGCAGAGCAACCTTTGAGCAGTAAGTAATACAGTAAACGGGCACGTCTATTTGTAAGCCAAGGAAATCATCTCCTCACCTCTCCCAACACACCCGCGCAGGACTTTTGTGGTAAGCTTCTAAGTGACTCACATGTGAAGTGGGATGTAATAAAGAGAAACGAGGTCCCAAAGAAGGTGAAGCTGATCCCCAGTGCTCCCTTCGTCTTGATCTGAGACACGATCCGCGTTGTCACAGTGGAATACTCCACCTCTGTGGGAAGAAAGGGAAGCAGTCACTGCTACGGGATGGGGGAACAGTTGTGGGGGAAAACAATGTTCCATCCAAGTGAGGCACTGCTTAGAGGGCCTGAGGCTCCCAATTTATGATCCAAACACAGGCCCATGAGGAGCCAAAGCTCCAGCCCTTCAAAGGAGGAAAAGGCAGATTGACCCTGGGGAAATGTAGAACACTGGGGATTTCCTATTTGAGACTCTGTCCCTCTGGCTTGCATTTACTATAGATTTGGGGCTGACCCTGCAGGCATCCCCAGAAGTTGGTAAGCATCACAACCCCCACAGAGATCTCCTATCATGAGCATTCCAAGCACCTTCATCTCTTAAGAGGAACCTGCCCATTTCCTTTAGGCCACTGCATTCATCTCTGTGTGCTCCTTGTGCAGCACACAACCCTTGTACAGGCACCTCCTCCAGCCACTAGGTAACAGCGCACCTGAACAGAACCAGATGAGGTCTCTCCGTATGAAGACTGACATGTAGAGCACGCCATGTGCAGCCGAGAACAGCATGACGTAATGGGGCCCAAGCGTCTCCTGGAGACGGATCTCCCACTCTCTCCTGCAGGGGAAGACAACAGCCATGACACAAGGTTGGGTGATGTTGGTGCGAAAGGGAAAAAGTGAGCAGGGAGCACTGAAGAGGGGGAAGCCAATACTAAGCTGGTGTAAAAAGCCCTCCTGGGAGAGCAGAGAGCCTCCAAACCAAACCTCAGCACCAACAGCAGCATTGTGCGAGGTTGTCACAATGCAGGTCCTTCGCTTTCCCAACCTTTGCACATAATACACAGGGGCCTTATGCTGACATGACAGTAAGTGTAGTACACCCCACCCGTTATAGGGCATTGTGCCGAATTTGGGGAGAAGGGAGGTATTTAGGATAATCCTTATACTATGGCTTATGCAGAGTTGTTAAAGTACAAAAAAATAAGACCCTGCTTCAAAGTGTTTTCAAACTAATTGAAAAGGAAAACAGCAATAGTGGGTAAGAAGCAAAGAGGCTGATTCATCTCACTGCTTTTACTACCTGTCTGGACAGCCTTCTTGAACTCCAATGATGTACATGTCCTGGGCGTAGTCAGGGTCAGTGGGCAGTAACAAGTCATCCAGGTTCTCTGGCAGTTCCTGCAGAAGAGACACACAGTATGGTTATGCAACCGATTAGAACAGGGAGGGAGGGAAGGCCAGACAAAGCCACAAGCTTTGCGGAGCATGCAATCAATTCAGCCTTTGCAAAACAGGTGAATAAACCATTTGTTACTCACAATGACTATTTGCATCCACAGAGCATCTTAGCTCTTAGCAGCTCAAAACATGAGTGAAGCCTACTCATCTCTCTGCCAAGTTGCTCATTGTCACCATTCCAACAGGTTTTGCCCTGAAAAAGGGGGGTTGGGGGAAGGTGTCTGCAGGTTTGTGTTCTGTTACTGAATTACACTTTCTGGCAATCTGGCAGTGGGGTTTGGTTCAGTGAACTATTCACAGCTGGGTTATCCGACATAAGAAGGCAAGACCTGCTGAAATCCCAGTGAAAACAGGAATCAGCCACCTGAGTGTCTCAGTGGGATGCTTCCCTGGGAAGAAGAGGCTGGTTGCTCAGGCTGATGGGTTTTTGAGTGCACGTGCCTGTCTGCACGGGCTGGATTTTGTTCTGTTGCCATTTTGCCTGCTTGGGGGCAATGAGCTGTTCATAGTGAAGCCTTAACCCTTATTAACAATGAGGTAAGGCTACCTGAGGTTAAAAGGCTAGGCCAGTCGAAGTCCCAAACACTCCAAGAGACCTGAGTGGGATTCCTCCTTGGGAAATGCAGAAGAAAGTACTGGTTGCTTTGAGCAAGGCTGACTGCAGTGGAAGCTTCTAAGCCTTAAGAGAGGGTAACAAGGAGGCAGACTAGGCCAGCAAGATTCCCAGTGACACCATAAACAAGACAACAGTGGGTGTTTGTAGGAGGAGCTCCTCGTCTGTGTTCTGGTGGCCTGTGGCAGTGTAAGCCAGCTGACTGCTGAGGCATCAGTGGTACCAGAGATGGAGAAGAACTGTCTAGTGAGCAGCACCTCCTTTAAGATGCAGGTTTCAGAGGGAGTACCCACAGACACTGCTAAAATTCTCCAAGTGCTGCTCAGTATCCCTCTGCCTCAAACCCTAAATCACATGGTTGAAGCCCTCTCCACTTTCACTGCTATGCAAGAGTGGGGTTATGACCATTCCCTGGTAAAACTCGCACCTTGGAGAATAACCAAAGCAGCAAGTAATAAAGCAGCAGCTGCTCTCCTCAAAGGCAGTAGTGGAGATTGCAGAACTTCACAATTACAATGGGCTCCTCTGCACAGCTGAGCAAGTACAAGAGGGGTTAGGATTACAGACAAAGGCTGGGCAGCCTCAGAGCCTAAGCTCCTCAGGCAGATAGAAAGTGATAGCTCCTCAGGAAGTAGCTGTGCTGTTCCCTTAACCAGAGCAGGGGAAACTTCCACTACTCACAGCCAAAGGCAGACATGCCTGTTCCTCACCTTCTGGCCCTGCATGTTCCAGGTGGCCACAAAAATGCCAATGGTCCGATCAGGGAAGTATCTGTTCAGTTCTTCTGCTCCCAGCAGTGCCCCGCTTGCAAGAAGGCTGCCTTCCAGATAGCTTCTGCAAGCAGAGGAGAAGGCAAGAGAGCAAAAAAGCCTTAATGTCGTTAAAACAACCAAAGGGTAGTGGGATTTCTGATCACTTAGAACAGCCCCAAATGGAAGTAATATTTAACACCTGTGCTTTGCTCCTCCCCGCTACAGCAATGTGAACCAGTTCCCTGTATATTGTCACATACTGCGATGGGCTTCCCACCGTTCTGACAGCAGGTAACTCAGGAGTGAAATTCATGTCATCTTCTTGTGTTGCTTTACAAATAAGATCCTGTAAATAAAAGGTCTTGGAAGCCCCAAGTCCAAAATGATGTAACATTCAAAATGGCTGGCCTCACCCATCTCCTTCTGTACAGGCAAGAAGCCAGGGCAGAAGGAGAGCAGGCTGAATAAGCACTTTTAATCTTGCTTAGACTGAGCCTTAAGCCCTGCAAATAATGACAACAGCATAGTGCTAGGGAAGGGTGAACTGATCAATGGTCTAGCCCTGATCCTGTGCCTTACACCTTCAAAGGAAGGAGCAAGAAAACCTATTGCCAATAAGGAGACCTTGATTTGTCCTCAGGAGTAGTCTTCCCCCAGTACCAGACAGTTAACAGCTTACTTGCGCAATAAGGCATGAGGATTTATACTCCCTCCAACGATTTATCCTAGTTAATGCAACAGGGGATGTTCTTATTCATATAATGGTCTAATCTGCTTTTGAATCTTGCTAGGCTCCTGGCTTCGTTATTGTTTTGTAGCAAGGAGTTCCACGTGCTACTGGATATGCAGGCCAGAAACTTTTACTCTGGCCATTTGGAAGTGTTGCAAGATACTTGCTTGCTAAGTTAGTTGGGTTGTGCCAACTGCTACGCACTAGTAATAGTTGTTGCATACAATCATACCGTGCAGTTTGAGGCCTCTACAGAAGAGGTTTGATGGCAGCCAGACAAGGGGGACTGGAGTGATAAGCCAGGTGGCTGACAGAAGAAGGATGCACAGTCCTGTTGCCTCCAAAGCAACTAGCTAAATCTACTGTATGTTGGAGAAAAAGGAGACTCAGGAAGGAAACTGAGGAAGAGAAGATGCCGTACGTGGATATGTCCTTAAGGTTCAGAGATAAAACACACCCAGAAATTTGGGGCTGCCTGGAATCAGGGGCTTGCTTGAGACCTTCCTCGGCTTCTCAAACATTTTCTGAGCTACTGCGAAGTGGGTGGGGCAGGGTGGTTATGCTGTCCTTCTACAGCTCCAGAGGAGCCAAGCAACATTCTCGTGCTGGACTTGTGCTGCCTGCAGGCCCAGCTGTAAATGTGTACTATGGTGTGAGCCAGGGAATCAAAGGTCCCAGGAGGTGATATTAGCCATGCCACTTGCTGATGGGCAGATGTCAGTGGAAACCGGTGTACCTTACCCACGCTAGCCTGACAAGCTGCTAGGCTCGGGTGGACATTGACATTCTGCGATGAAAAAAACATGTGGTTCAGATAGATGCACAAGTGTTTTTTTCCCCACTCTACTCTGAAGGAGATACTGCTGTAGCCTATTCCAAAAGAAAGCATGGAGGGAGGAACTACACGGTGCTCCCTGCTGAGGGGAGTCTAGAGACCTTGAGGTTTAGGACACAAGTTGTTGCTGTTATGTCGACGGCTCCTGCCATCGCCAGCAGTGAAGGCCTCTCAGTCCTTACAAGAACGAGGACAAAGCTTGCACTACTGTCAGATGGCTGGGCTGATTCTCATAATCAGATACCCTTGAGCAAAATTAACAATGCCCCATGGTCCATCACGCTGGCAGACATCCCCTCCCCTCCCCTCCCCGTAACTCTCACAGGCTTTTCATCTTCGAAACACGGCTGTAACCTTCAGAGCTGCACAGGGGAAGAGCATTCTGCTGCAAAGCCTTAACTAACACAGCCGGTGACGAGTGTTTCCACCCTTTATTCAAGCCCTTCTCAGAACATTTCCACCACTTCCTTGACGAGCACCAAATGCGCTGGTCCCAGGTAGGGTGGTCATAGAGGACATGCCGGTTTTCTGCTACTCTGTCCTCTCTTGATATGAAACCGGATGCCTTTAAGTCCTCTGTTTTTCTCTTCAAGAGGAAAAGAGAGGACATAAAGGCATCTGGTTTTGTATCAAACGAGGACTGAGGACAACCGGACTGTCTTCAATGATGACTACACTAGTCCCAGGTCTCATCATCCCCAGCGTGCTATTCTGCTTTCGTATCAAACGAGGACAACCGGACTGTCGTCTACGATGGCTACCCTAGTCCCAGATCTCATCATCCCTGGCATGCTATTCTGCTGAGTTTTGCCACATATGAAAATACAATTTATATGCCCCTCCCATGCTGGTGAGAATAGCAAGGAGGAAGTAACTAACAATATTGCATTCGCTGCCACGAGACATTGGCAGGGTGGCTGCCACGTGGGACCAAGTGCCGCTCTCTCCGCGAAGCATAAAACCGGAGAACCTACCTGCTGCGAACATCCTTGGCGCGAATGGGGGCCAGCAGGCTGAACGACGACTTCATGGAGTCCGTGGAGCAGCTATCGCAGACCATCCCGCTGCCGTGCAGCCTGGTGTCGCTCAGGCTGCCGCCGCTCTGCCTCGCCAGCTTGCTCCCAGAGCCGCGCCGGTAATCCGTGCAATCCGAGTCGATCCGATGAGCTGTCCTCAGCGCGCGCGAGACGACGTCGATCTCCATCGGGGGCAGAGCTCGAGGAGGCGCGATTTGGGGCAGTCGGGGTTTGCCGCCGGAAAGCGCCTTTCCTTGCTCGAAGGCTTCTTTCTCCGAGTCAGACCCGCTTCCCTTGCTCTTCCCGAAGGAGCTCGTTTCCACGGCGTCCCGCAAGGAGCCTGGATGCCAAGGGGTGCCAAGGGACGCTCCTCTGCTCACGACGGGAGGGCTCGGGGACGCTTCCTGGAGAGACCCGTTGGAGGAGCTGGTCTCATTGGGGTCCGTCAAGCTCTCCTGGCTTGTTTTCAACAGCCGCCGCCTCCGCCGCCGCCAGCTTTGCTCGTCTAGAGACGCCGCGCGCTCCAGCCTGGGCTGCCGGGGAGGCTTTGGGGTGAACAACGTAGCCCGCAAGCTGGCTTTGATGTCCCCCGAGGAGCCTGTGTCAGGGTGATCCTCCGTGGGGGACGCCGTGCTGTCCCCAGCCTCTTTCTGCATGGCCTGATGCTCCCGCAACACCCGTCCGTCCGCGTGCGACCC